AAAGGAGCCCGGCAGATTCTGATGCCTCATCCTCTGTGTGGATGACCCACTCCCACCCCTCCACACCCTCAGAGCTACTCTTGAGTTTCCTGTTTCTCAAAGACTGTTTTGGGGGTAGCTGTGCCCACAAACGGAGACAAACAACTTAAGCATTTGCTTGCTTTCCTGTTTTGGCCTTCTAGAAGCACTTTGTCGCCTAGGGCTGTTTGATCTTCCCAGACTTTGTGGGATAATATCAGGAGTGGGTGTCTCAGAGGAGGAAGCAGTATCACAGAGGTTACTGACATGCTTTGGGTTTCAGAGTTTGAACTGCGAAGCTTAATCAAAGTCCTGCGTTCACCTTAGGGATCATTCAAAATGCAACCCACATTTAATAATAGCAACACTAGCTCCCATACTTGAGCGTTTCCCATGTACTGTACTTAGCTTGCTTATGGGTGTCATTTTGTTTCTCTTTCACAAGGGCCTATGGGGAGGGTTTGGTAATATCTTCCCAATTTTACAAAAAAAGACAATGGGGGCTCAATGAGCTGTGGAAATCACTCACAGTCCTACAATTAGTAGAAGAATGGGGACCTCACGTCAGCCCTGGCTATCTCCAAGTCCTAGTGCTCTCACGCATTCTGTGACACGATTGTGGAGACACTGGCCTCTGAGCGTGCAAGAGGACCTGGGACGGCGCCTCAGTCTCACTGTTGTGTTCTGAGTCCATGCAGGTTTTATCAGATCCTCCATTTTAGTTATTACCTGAGATGTTCAGTGACAAAACGCAGTGACAAAAATACAGCGGGGAGCGAGAGTGGATAGAGCACCACCCTCCATCCAAGTGGATGGAGCAGCAGTTGTCTCAAACTATAAGGCAAGCCCTTCAGATCCCACCAATAACATAGCAAAGATGCATATTAGAATTTTGTAAGCCATACAAAAGCCCTGACTCAGGGCCTGGCTCCCAGTAAGCAGTCAATGAATGTCAGGTGAAAGGTCAAAGTTTTCGTTAGCAAATACTTTTGAAGTCTTTTTTTTTCCCCTTCTTAGAAAACCCTTCACTGATTTTTATTCATTTTATTTTTAATTACATTTACTTATTGTAGGTATGTGTGGGGCACACGTGTTGTTATTATTTTTTGTTTTGTTTTTATTATTATTTTTTTACCCCCTTTGATTTTCCCAGACAGGGTTTCTCTGTGTAATCCTTGGCTATCCTGGACTCGTTTTGTAGATCAGGCTGGCCTCAAACTCACAGAGATCCACCTGCCTCTGACTCCCGGGTGCTGGGATCACAGGCATGCGCCATGGTGCCCGGCTGTGTTATTATTTTTAAAATGAGGCACAAGAGATATTATATGAAAGAGTTTATTCAGGGGAAGGGAAGCAGAAGACAGTTAGGGCCTGAGTGAGCCATGAGGGCAGAGAGACAGGGAGAGGGAGACAGAGAGAGACAGAGGTGGGGGAGGAGCGCCCCGACTGAGAGAGGGAGAGAGCAAGAGAGAGAGAGAGAGAGAGATGAGGTGGCAGGTTGGTCTTTTATATCTGGTGCGTCTGCCACACACCTGGCTGGCGCCACATCATGACATCATAGGTTACTAGGCAACCCATAAGCAAGCTGACTATACGCTAACATGTGTCACAGAGCATATGTAAAGGTCAGATGACAACTGGTGGAAGTCAATTCACAAGTCTTTCACCCTGTGGGTCCCTGGGATCGAACTTGTATCTTCAGGCTTGGCAGCAAGCACCTTTACCTACTAAGCCGTCTCATCAGCTCTTTTATGTTTTAGCTTTACTGTACTGCGTCCCAGGGATTTTCATTAAGAATCATTTTGGAATAAGGCAACGTACAAATACAGAGATTTTCCTCTGGGAAAGCAAAGTGAAGCGAACTATTGTGTGGACAGATAGGTTGGGCAAGGTCCCTTGCCAGCCCCACCTTCAGTTATAGAGTGAAATGCATGATTGTATTCTCCTAGTAGCGAAACTGTGAGAGTTAAATGAGGTGGTGCTCCAGGGGATAGTTATGTTGACGTGTTTTCCCATTCAAGTTCCTCCACTACTGCTGGTCATCAAGTTAGTGTCTGGTGATGGTGTGGTCAGTGAAGACCACATTGCCTACCTGATTTGACTCTTTTCTTTCACAAGCAAGTACTGTTGTCATCTATGGAACCCTAGTATATAAGCTGTGGCTTTGCAAAGAGCAATGCAATTTTCCCTTGATGGCCTCAGTCTTCTCACTGCTGCTGCCGCTGCTTGGGCTGAGATATGAAAGATATCTGAGGGCAGCAGGCAGACAGCTACAAATTTAATGATGGAGTGTCAGGGTTCACCTGGAGTTGTTTATTCAACCCATTTTTCTGAGCTCCTGTATTTTCCAGACTCTGTGACAGGCTCTGAGGATATTTCCAGAGGCAAGACCGAGACATCCCTTCTCTCTCAGACAAAGTCTAATTGAGGGATGCAGGCAAATGAAGACACAGCTATAACACAAAACAGGAAATGGGATATAAGAGGGATGGCTAGGGAGTTACAAAAGCATAAACAGTGACTCCAGAACTAACCCAGCCAAAGAAGGAATTTGGGAGAAGTGACAGCTAAGGAAATACCAAAAGGATGAACAGAAGTCAAGCAGGTGACCTGGGAGAAAGTAGACAAGAGACCTTCCAAGCAAGAAGTTTGGGTTGTGCAAGGGTCAAGGAGAGGATAGAACACATCAAATTTGGGGAACTAGTAGGGGATCCTTTTAGCTGACTCATAGCAAAGTTTTCACATGGGAAGAGCCCTGATAGATCATAGGCCATGAGGTCCCTACTAGGCCACCATAGAGTTTGGGCTCCACCCCAAGGACAGTGTGAAGCCAACGCAGTGGCACTCTGAGATGGAAACACCCTCTCTTTTAACTCACGTAATTCTCTACATACAGAGGGATGTTGAGTATAGCCAACCCAGTTATAGATGGGGAAACAGGGTATGCGTGTGTGTGTGTGTGTGTGTGTGTGTGTGTGTGTGTGTGTGTGTGTG